TCAGAGGTTAAAACTGGGGATGAGACTGACATGTCAAAGCAGGAGCGAGTTTCAGGGGGACAAAAAGGAGCTGCAGAACATTTGTACATTGAAAAGAGAAAAGCATATTTATATATTTTCTATACAGTGTTTACTGATAATACCATAGAGGTTTGTATTAAGAAATTTGTACATTTTTTAAGAAAAGGTTTTATTAAAATCCTCACAAATATAAGTTGCCTTAAATCAGGAGGAAAAGGCTGGAGGACAAAAAGCACAAGAGGACGTTAGACTTATCTGATGCCAAATATGAAACCAGAGGAGAAGAGCTCCCCCGGAGGCTCCTTGCGCCGCATGGCAGCCATCTTGTCTGTAGTCCCATGTAACCAGGGTCAGGAGCGGCTGGGGACACGATGTGGTGCTGGGTCTTTGATTTGAATTTACCTCCAGTGTGTTTGTGAAACGGTACGGCTGATAGTGTCTGGTGCGGATGTAAGTCGCGTGCCATTGAAGCAGGAACCTAAGGCACATATCCCCCCTGTTTGGAAGCAGGAGCCACTATGAAACGCTACAGAGCCCAGAGAGGACACGAGCTTATGCCAGGATGTGTCTGGGTTCACTCGTGTCCCCTCTGGACAAAACATCCCAGCATCTCCCACGAAGATCACGTCATGTGACGTGACTCGCATCCAGACTCACCAGACGGATAAAACAAACGTGCGCTTGGGTTTGCCATATTGTGCTCTCACTGAAACTGCAACAACCCAGAGCCGCCGCGGGCTGCGCCCACCGGCCTCTGCTCCCAGTGGAGGACGCGGCGTCCCACCAACAACACGTGCCTGACCAGTTACACACTCGTATCTTTATTTTGTTGTTATTACTATGACAAGAAACAAAGGAAATCTAGTGCCCTCTAAATGCTATATAATATTTTTGTACCACATATTGTGTAGATAACGTATTTATAAGCTATATAGAAAATCATTGTAAATCTATCCACTGATTTCTTGTATTACTTTTCATTCCGTTTTTTTATATTGCCTCATATTTTTCTACAGAATATCACTGCGAACGTACAGCGACAATCTCAGCCCAGAGCGCGGGAGCACCTGTGGTGTGTGTGTACGTGTGCGTGTACATGTGTACGTGTGTGTACGGACAGTCACTGGCTGTGTTAACCAAGTGGAGGCACATACCTGAAGCAGGGACTGGGGGGAAATGAGAGACGGCATTCTGTCACCTCCGGTTTTCCGTGAATCTGTTTGTCTTTTGCTTCTTGTCACAGCCGCAAAAACATTTAGTAAGACAGCGTGTTGCATCGTTGGAGGAGAGTGTTCAGGCGGTTCCCTCACTGGCGTCAAACGTTTGATTTGCTTCATGTTAAAGAGGAAAAAACCCACCAGCACGAGTTTGAAGACAATCTAAGGCTTTAGAGCTCCAGGATGTCACGTCGTTAGAGGCTGACTCTAGACTGTTAACGAGCACCGCTTGATGTCACGTTTCTGCTGAGTTTTAACACTTCAGCACCAAAACCTCCAGAGACCAGACCTGACTTCCACCAGACTCTGTACAATTCTTGAAACAACTTTTCAAAACAAATGGTTTGTTTCAGAAACAGTTGAAATAATCACACGACCCATATTTCTGCTCATTTTTCAGTGCAGTGATATTTACAAAAAACCAAATTGGGCTAAAATTCAGAAATAGCGAAACTAAAAAATGACAATACTCCTGATTTTTTTTAAGTTGCAGCTGTTGTACAAAAACCTCTACAGGTCTAAATGCTGTTAGCTGTGAAGACTGTTTACATAAAAGAAGACCGTGTACAACAGCCAGAATCACGAAGAAGGCTTTGATCTCTTTTTCTGTGTATACACTATGTTGTGTGCACAAGATAAAAACCATCTCTCTGGCCTTCAGGTGGCTCCGTAGACTGTGACTTTTTTGTTTTTGGTTTTAGCTCATGTAAGAGGAACTGATCTTTGTAGTGCAGAAAATCAGTATAACAAATCCACCTCGCGTCCCTGATCAGAAACCACTAAACAACAGAAGGCTAAACCTCAGGCCAGTGCATGGACGTGCATTTTGGCTCCTTGCTGCCTCCGTACACCCTGCACATCTGGCCACAGCGGTCGACTAGCTGAGGGCTACCTGTAGTACTGTCGCTGTGTGCAGCTGCCCACACACGCCCACATCAAATAAACACATTTTGGGAGAGGTTCTCATTCTCTAACTGCACTTTACAGGACTTTTTTTTTTTTTTTTTTTTTTTTTTTTTTTTTTTTACTGATTTCCGGTACAAAACGACTTCAGCTGCAGTGAATTTGTATAAAGGTGGCGTTTGGTTCATGTGTTTAGAAGCCGACAGGGTGGTGAAGAGGCTTCTGAGCATCGCCTCTGGTTGGTGATCTGTTGCCTCACACCCGTGTGCTCATTTTTCTACCCTCATTTGTAATTAGTTCAGTTTTGTAAAGACTAAATGCTACTCCGTTGTCCCGTGTCTTCTCAGCGTCATCTGTTGCCTTCAAGAGTTTTTGTAAACTGGAAAACATCTGTGGGCTCATTGGGGGTGTGGGGTTTTTCCTTTTTCATTTTTTCTGTAAAATCTGTAATATGTGATGTCACATATCAAATGTGTTTCAGACAAAGATCAAAACAAAGTATTAAATGTAAATTATTCAGTCGAGGTGCATCAGTGCTTCCAGGACTTGATTTAATATTTTAAGGGAGCAGATTGATGATTTGGGGAGTTCGTTGTTACTAATGAGTTTGTGAGGGCAGACGAGACTAAATCGGGTGAAATTAGCACATAGAGAACACGAGTGACTGGTTTGCAGGGCTGGAAATGAAACGTTCAAGTTGTCACTACTAGTTCTGGTAAAGTTCCTGAGTATTGGCACTGGTATCAAAACACTTTTAAATCAGAGGATCTTAGTTTAATGAATTAAAACTTTTTCTACAAGAAGCCAAAACTGTGTAAAAAAAAAAAAAAAAAAAGGTTGGTTTTACAAAAAACAGGCATACAACTTTCCCCACATAAACCGTTGTGTAAAATTTGCATTTCTCAACAATTACTAACCTGTATGGAGCAATTTGTCTTTGGGAGCTGGCGGTGCAACAGCCCGTTACCGCCCACTGATGCTCTAAACCTTGGAGCTACCGGGTGGCCCTGACACTGTGCTGATCAAAGACCAGTCAGACGCTGGAAAGGCATCATGGGAACCATGTACCAAAACGTCCCTCTAGTCGTCAAAGCTCCACAGGTTTGGTGTGAAGGTGCAGTGAAACGTGAGACAGACAGAAACCGGTAGAACTCAGCGTGGCTCTTCTCTGAATTCAGGCTGAAAAGGGCAAAGAAAGAAGAAATGTAAAAAGATTGAAAAGTAATTTTTAGGCACTTGTGTCTCCAGGTTTATCCGAGGTTCAAAAAGGAAAACAAAAGTTAGTTTTTTTTATGTCCATCTGTTTTCGTATCATGGTGCTTCGAGAGTACGTTTGTGGAGATGGCCGAGATTTGGTTTGCCATGTTCATTTAATTCCCGGTTATCTATGGTGACCGTTTTACCTGTGAATCAAATGGACCTGTACAGCCCATCCAGCTGCTGGGACACAGGGAGTCGGCCTCTTTGCAGTCAGGGACTCCACTCATGCTGCTTTAGAGGTAAAATGGGGACTAAGGCCACCTTCGGACTGAGTTTCAAAGGTGTGAAAACACAGAATGAAGTCACTCAGGTTAACTTGTCACAATGTGGCTGTGTCCTACACGCTTACAACAGCCTGAATGCCCACTAAGACCAGTTCATTGCAAGCAAAGGCTTTACATTTTTGCAAGTTTGTGTTCTGCTTGTTCAACAGCTGTTTGCTGTTCATACACTTTTCCTGACTGGCTGATTAAGGAGCATCGTGACTGCTGACTTTGGCCTCTCTGCTCGCCTGTGTGTGTGTGTGTGTCACACACACAACTGAGAGAGAGTGAGAGCACTACAGACTACTGATGGGAATTCCTTTTCTTTTCAGAGGTAAAACTATTGTCCCCTGCTGTGCAGAACAACATCTCAATCTTGCTGGAATCTTAAGTGCCAGGGGCAGCAAGGTAGCCTTAGGCAATTAACCCGCGGTTCACATGCATGCCGAATTGTGGGGGGGATCTGTACAGGTCAGGCTCATCTAGGATCTGTTACACCACTACCATCAAAGAGGATGGTTGAAGCGTTTTGGAGGAACTAATTTCCATGTGAATAACATGTTCTGTCTGGTGCACTGTTGTTTTGCCTTCTTAAAAGCTCCGCATAATACACTATTAACCATTTCCGTGTGGGGGTGAGGTGTTTAAACCCGAAATCCAGCCGCTGGGTAGCTATATTTTGTAAGCATGGGCGCACGGTGTTTATCTGAAGCTGCTTTTCTGGGTATTACGGTAAATTAACCGACGACGCCTCCTCCGCGCTGGTTGGCCCGCTCCTGTCATATGATCAGGAAACAGCAGGAAGAGCAGGAATTGGCCGCAGAAGTAAGAGTAAGGAAATAAACAAAAATAAATACAATACATTTTATTTGTGATATACAGTTACAATACTACATTCTTCGTTACCGTTTTATAGCTCGACGTTTCAGCTAACGGACTCGGGACTCTCGGTCCATTTAGACGGTTAGTTTGTTGGGACGACTCTGGTTTAAATGATGATGTTGGTGTGACAGTCAGCGTCCATGTTCGCGACAGAAAGTTAAAATAACGCTCGTGAAAACAGACATTTCTAACCTTACTCAAGCCAGCGGGAGTTAATTCAACCGCTACCCCCGCTTTGTGTTTGTATATCTGTTAGCTAATGTCGATATTGAAGTCCCGGTAGTGGATTTATTTCGAGGTGTCGCTCTTAAATGGCAGCAGGTTGCTAATCACAGAACTGGGTTCAGTTAAATTAAATCTCCTTTAATAATAGTCATCGTTACACAACTCATGGTGAGTTTTTTTTTTTTGTTTGTTTGTTTGTTTTTAGCAGGTTTTTGTTGTGTTAGGCCTCAAAGGGGAATTTCCCACCGACAGTGACGTCATGACGTACCGGATGACAGGCGGCCTCCAAATATAAGCTTTATCTTTAATAAATTCCAACATTTTACAGTGTTATTGTATCAGCAAAATAGGCTGTAATATCATATTCAGATGTGAACACTGCAATGTCAGTGGTGGAAAGTCCATTTAGTCAAGTACTGCACTTAAGTACAGTTTTGAGGTATTTGTACTGGAGTATTATTTATATTTTTTATAAATATTTATTTTGGCCATTTACACTCTATACAGCACCTATCATGTCCACAGAACAGAGGGCAAGTTTGTGTTCTGCTTGTTCAACAGCTGTGACATTGTCTAATAATCTGCTGCTAATTTTCCTGATTCACTGAGTTTTGTCGACAGACGGGGCGACGTCCTCAAGTGACTATTCAAGCAATGATTTGGTTATGAAAACAGCTGCAGAACAATTTTATGTCATTTGAGTCAGTAACTTATCTCTGCTTTAACACAGTGTTGAGGTGGGATCAAAACCCTGGTTGAGGGTTTATTGATCACATTCTGGTGCATTGATGAGCTGTTGTGTGTCTTCAGGATCAGTTGCAGCCGTCAGGATGCAGAGCACCACCAACTACCTGTGGCTCATCTCAGACCTGCTGGGTCAGGGTGCAACAGCCAACGTTTACCGCGGGCGGCACAAGGTATGAACTGAGGTCAGAGGTCACAGGGAAGCCTCCACCCTTTCACACAAACCTGAGGATGCTGTCAGTCACAGGGTCTCTTAACACTTGTTAAAAATACTCCCATCCTGCTTTTGAGATAAGTCAGTCCAAACATTTTTCATGGATTTATCAAAAATTTCACATTAATGTAAAAATGGAAAGTCGTGAAGCCACTGTAAATGAAGATGTTTGTAGTTTTTGATTTTCAAATGAGGTTGTATAGATGAAAGTGTGTGGTGTGAATGAATTCAGAGGCCTGGATCTGAAAATTCCCAGATTTTATCTCCTACATTCACGGCTCAGGTTTCAGCTGAATTTATTCAGCAGATCAGACGCATTTAAAGCTTCAGGGTGGGAACTGTCGGAGGGGGAATTTCCCAAAAATCTTTGCAGTGAGTGGATACGTCTGAACATGAGCTTTTTGTTTTGACTCGGGGTCAAATGACTCATTTACTGTCGACACCTAAGCTCTGGTGGACAGAAACACAGATACTCTGTGAACCCAGTAAAAAGGGTTTTTTACATGGGAGGGGTGTCTGTCCATGTAGGCACGATTGTTGCATTAGTGTCCACGTCTCTTGAAGGGTTGGGAATTAAACAGAGATGTCAGGAAACTCTGAACACTCTCCAAATTTCAGTTTTCTGAAGAAGACTGAGTTTGAGGACCAGAGTCATCTTATCATATCAACTCACTTGGAATAAACAGGTGGTGTCTGTGAAATCAGTAGCATTCTAGGTATAGGATTGGCTTGGAGTGCCACCCCTTAGTAATAGGCCCTGGCTAGGACCCTCCCATGATGCTCTGAGCTCCCTCCTCACCCCTCAGTGGTGTTCACACTGGAGCTGGGTTCATGTCAATTACACACGTGGATGTGACCCATCAACACGACTGAGCATTAAGACCTGTGACGTGGCTCTGAGCGTGCGCTCAGCGCGGCCTTGTTCATTTGAAGCTGCTGCATCAGCTTTGTCACTCTGAAGTCAAATGCGACATCTAATGCACGTATAACTAATGTGCTTTTGTGTGTGTTCGTAGAAAACGGGTGACCTGTATGCAGTCAAAGTCTTCAACAACCTGAGTTTCTTGAGGCCACTTGATGTCCAGATGAGAGAGTTTGAGGTTTTGAAGAAACTGAACCACAAGAACATCGTCAAACTCTTTGCTGTGGAGGAGGAGGTCAGTCAGGCAACGTGCACACACACTATCAGCAGG